TGCCTATTTCTCGTTGTTCGCTTTGTGTTGCCGCAGTATTCGCCACAATATATCAATTTAAAAGAGGTGCACAAATTTTTAAATGTTTTCTTTACAAATCTGGCAATACCATACCATTTCGCAATCAGCTGATCGCATAAATTGTCCATTCTTCACATTTGCTTTACGTAAAAAAGCCGCATAGTGGAATAAATTGCATTGAATTGCATTTACATCAGTAATAATTGCTCATATCCACTCAGTTCAGCAGCAAAAGTATGTCAAGCAGCTTGCAACGTCTCGTCAATAATTGCAGTAGAACGCCTTCATTTTGGCAACATGTAGGCCTAACCAAGCTGACACCAAAAGTGGCGCCCAATCACCTCCAGCGACGATTCACCGCCACTGATCCCACAAAGGGTAAAGGTCCAATTTCGTGGAAGAGTTTAGCCTTTATCGGTGGTGCCGGTGTAATTGGTCTAGGCTTTATGTTATATGTAAAAAAGGAAAAAGAAGAGGCTATTATGCGTGAACGAAAACGACAGTTGGGCAAAGCGGCTATTGGTGGCCGCTGGGAACTCGTTGATCCCGAGGGTAAAGTACGTAAGTCGGAAGACTTTCTTGGTAAATGGCTGCTTATATATTTTGGATTCACGCATTGTCCGGATATATGTCCTGATGAGTTGGAGAAAATGGCAGCTGTTGTGGATGCGATAGGTAAGGTGTTAAGCACATAATAGAGATAATACTATATAACTTCCATGAATTTTTAATAATCTTTGGATTGCTGTAGAAAAGTCACCACAGTCGCCAGATATCCAACCCATTTTCATCACTGTGGATCCGGAACGTGATTCTAAAGAGATTGTTGGCAAATATGTGAAAGAGTTTTCACCAAAGTTGTTGGGTCTCACCGGAACCGTGGAACAAATACGCAATGTTTGCAAAGCATTCCGTGTTTACTTTAGTGCTGGCCCACGCGATGTCGATAATGATTATATTGTAAGATTATCAATGAGATTTATGTGATATTTCCATAATAATGCTTTCCTGCACAGGTTGATCACACTATCATCATGTACCTTGTGAATCCGGATGGTGAGTTTGTGGATTATTATGGACAAAATCGTGATAAGGATCAGTGCATAAGTTCTATAGCAGTAAATATTGCCAAATGGAACAGTTTAAACCAGAAGTCATGGTTCGGATAAGGAGATTTGCACAAATATAAGTGAAAATTTCTTGTTATCCAGTTCCAAGGAAAATGTTGATTTTTAATGTGTGGTTGCATTTAAACATGTCTGCAACTAGAGCTACGCGCAATAAATTTATTTAAAAGTATTTGTTTTTAACTATTGCCAAAACATGTGTTATTTTATTTCAAAAGTAATGGAATGTGGCAAATCGCGGAAGCAATATGCAGAGCAAGTTTTTGATACGGCTATCAGCCCTATTCCCAAGCCAATGACAAAACTCAACGTTTGACTATTGTCTGATACATGGTGGAATATAATTCCACCATGGGCTGATGTAATTATTTGATTTTCGTTGCAGGAAATCCATGAACCAAAAAGACAAGATCACGCGGGCAGGAGACTAGCCCGTTAGAATCGCATTTAGGAAAAAAGTTGAACCGTTTGTTTACATTTCTTCGTTGTTTACAATTTGATGGTGGCTTTTTACTGCAATTTTCTTCATTTTCGCTTGTGACAACGTGTGTACACATAAGATAAAGAATAATTTAACACAACGGCACGATTTATAGAAGAATTTGCATAATAAAAATGATTTTTCTTGCGTTCAACAATTTCGCGGTTTTCTCCGTTCTCTTCGTTGTTTACTTCTTACAACAAAGATGGCGTCGAGATTTCGGCAGCTGGAAAATAACTTTTTTCGTTCTTTCGTTCCCGCGTGATCTTGTGTCTTTCGTTCATGCAGGAAATCCCTTATAAAAAATAGTCTGGCATCTTGCTCTGTTATTGACATTTCATTGTGTCAATTTTGTGTTGTCACCACTGCTGCTGCACACGAAGCTTCTTTTTGGCATTTCACAGCGCTGTCCACGGCAATAAAATAATTAATTTTTTGCGAAAACAAATAAAAACAGTGCAAAATGGTATATATTTTATATTAATATAAGCTGGAATCTTTGAATGCAACCAAAAGTGTTTATATAAAGCAAATCGCTAAAATATGAGCTAAAATACAGTGGAATTGGATTTTCCACTACACCTAACCTAAAAAATATTTGGTTGCTCATCGATTGCCTGTGCAAGATGTTAAACAAGTGCAAGTTTCATTATATATTTTTTCGTTTTAGCGACCTTTAATGCTGCAAGGGCATGAGCGTTCTATAACGCAAATTAAGTTCAATCGGGAAGGTGACTTGTTGTTTTCATGCTCTAAAGATCAAAAGCCAAACGTTTGGTATTCACTAAACGGCGAACGTTTGGGCACTTATGATGGCCATCAGGGTGCGGTTTGGTGTTTGGACGTTGATTGGACAACATCAAAGCTCATTTCAGGCGCTGGTGATATGACCACGAAGATCTGGGATGTGGAATGCGGTGCTGTGATTGCTTCGATTCCTGCCAAGTCATCTGTGCGTACCGCCACTTTCAGTTATTCCGGCAACCAAGCGGCGTATTCCACAGATAAAGCTATGGGTCAAAATTGCGAGCTATTTATTATCGATGTACGTACAGCAGACTCGAGCATTGCGGAACAAAATCCAATTTTACGTTTACCAATGCTACCATCGAAAATCACTTCCATGTTATGGGGACCATTGGATGAAACCATTATCACAGGTAATGATAATCAGCCATGTTCTGCAATTCCCTTTGAATCCGAAGTTCGGGGTTTGTGTTCCACCTACCGAGTAATTATTTTGAAATCATATTTTAAACATATCGTAACCTTTTAGGTCACGATAATGGACAGATTTCTATATGGGATATTCGCAAGGGTGGTCGCGAAATCAATTCGGTGAATGACCACACAGCTGGTATAAATGATATGCAAATGAACAAAGATGGCACAATGTTTGTCACAGCTTCCAAGGATACATCAGCCAAGCTATTTGACTCCGAATCGTTGATGTGTCTTAAGACATACAAAACTGAAAGGCCGGTAAACTCTGCTTCAATTAGCCCTATCATGGATCATGTGGTATTGGGTGGTGGTCAAGATGCTATGGAAGTGACCACGACATCAACTAAAGCGGGCAAATTTGACTCACGTTTCTTCCACTTAATTTACGAAGAAGAATTTGCGCGTCTTAAGGGTCATTTCGGTCCCATTAACAGTTTGGCCTTCCATCCGGATGGCAAAAGTTACGCTTCAGGTGGAGAGGATGGTCTCGTACGTGTGCAAAATTTCGACAGTACATATTTTGAAAACATCTTCGAGTAGAAACTTATGCTTATTGCATAGTTTATATATTAGTCCCCAATAATAACCTTTTTTGTAACTTTATTTGTGTGAAATTAAAGGTGGTACGCAAATATGTTTGCAAATAAAATAAACTTCAAAAGATATGTGAGAACAAGAAGAAAAACTAATTACAATTTTATTTTTTTTTAAATAAATGAATACATACATATTTTCGTGATACAAAAAAATTTTAATATTTTGTATATATCGAATTTATGGAACAAAAGCATAGTTCAATAATTAAATCGAAATACTCCATTAATACACAAGACTATAGCTTTTCCTCTATCCACAATGTCTATATAATGTTTATACATATATATATATATATGTTTGGATTTCCCCTTAGAAGAACGACCGCTTTGTTTTCTTCAAAACGACAGGTTGTCCTTGCATGGCGGCATATTGGGCCGCAGTCGGTGCGTAACCTGGTGGTGGTGGCGGTATGCTTACTGCTCCGGTTGCAGTCGTTCGTATCTTAGCGCCCGCAGCTAACGATAATACATGAGGCTCTTTTACTGCTTGTGTTGTGTTGAACGTAGCAGGAGCAGTTGCAGTCACATAATGATGTTGGTAGTACTGTGGTGGTGGCGCAGCATAGTGTGCTGAATAATTGGGCGTCTGCATTTGATGTTGCTGAGCATTATAATTGTATGTTGGCATGTATGAATTAGGCATATGGTTTGGTGCCACCCGATTAGCAGCAGCTACATACATGCGCTGGCTCTCTTCGTAGGAAGGAGGCGGTGGACGCTGAAAATCAATACATCAGCAGTTTACTTATGTATGTATTTAAGCATTTGTTTTATGCTATACACTTACATGATTGAAGCCACTGGCTGCAGCGCCATTGAGGGCAACGGGCGCTGATGGCGGTCCGGCTGTGGTAACAATCTTCCTTTCTATAATATAAATATTAGTTAGAGTATTTTTTATAGTTCATTGTTTTTGCTATTACCATTGGACATTGTCAGACTATGCGGTATTTTTGAAATTTTTATCAAACTTTTCAATTTAGCAAGATATTTTTTTGGCGTTCATTTTTTGATTGAACAATTTTTAAATGACGTTTGTTTATATGCGATGACACTAGAATCAAAACAAAGCGAGCGATGCCACTAATCCACAGGGTTGCATTCAGTGTACTGGTGACATACGAAATATATTAGGGGTGTTCCCATCGAAGCTTGGTACTCGGTACTTGGAAATTGTTTCCCATTGTTCATGATATTTCCCCATTTTGTTTCCCATGTAGCTGAGAACTTACAGATGCGTACTACCATTCTATAGGGCCTGAGTTCAATCCCTGGTCCGAGCAAAATGTAACGCCCCCCTGCAGGCAATGGCAAATCTCCGACTTTTCCGCTTTGGAAATGGTTCTCATTAAAAACTATTTGCTGTTCGGAGGCGGAATAAATATTTGGGTATTTCCATTCGTGCTCTAACATTTGGAATCACACCTCAATTTGGAGGAGAAGCACAGCCAAACACATAGCAAAAGTGTGAGAGCGCTCGCCTCATATTTCTCCGACACATTTGGTGTAGAAGCAAATTAAGTACAAAGAAAAAGATTTGTCGCAAAACTTATGTTAATAATTTTATTAATACAATAACTTTTATATTTTTTACGCTGCTTCAATCTCCTCTAAGAATTTCCGACATTTTTCTTTAAGCACCTTCACGGCTTCGATGAAAATCACGTCAGGCTTAAGTGCTCCTACCGATTCAACACTAAATATATAGTGATCACGTACACGTGCCATTGTTACTGCATCTTCCAATTGCGGATAGCGATATACGTTACGGCTGCATGTATCATAGCGTGCATCTTTCACATAGGCACAGTCATTTTCATCGATTCCTATAACACCGGGAGAGAAACATTTTTGCAACAGAAATGCTTCTTTGCCCTCTACTCTGCGATTCAATTTAATTTCCGGCAACAGCCTGTAGAAAGCAGTAGCTACTGGTGAAAATTTTGCGTGATCATTGCCAATACCCTTCACAGCCAATAGACGCAAGTCCAATTCGTGTCCCGGACGCAATTGATTAATCAGTATGTCATCATGTATACAACCAACATCTGTTTCGCTGAAAAGTTGTGATTGTTTGCCCTTTGGTAGCCATTTTATTTGACCGGAATAAACCTTGTGGTTCTTGTAGATGGTGTCGAAGTTTGATGAGTCCTTTACATCTTTGCGACGCGTACACTTTACCTTCAATTCAAATTCTAAGGTATCATGTTCATTTCCTTGATCACCACTCTCCTCGGTTTTGTACAAAAAGCGTCGAGGGTCTGCGCGTAGCGGAATGAGACCCAAGCGATGTGCTAGCACTTCATCTTGCATAATTGATGTGTTATTATAAATGTACACCTTTTCAATAGCCATACTAGGCACTTCGCTGAGCATAAGACGACGGAACGCGTTTGCTATGCCCGGATGGACACCAATCATATCAAACTCCATTTCGTTGCCATCGTATCTGGAGAAAGTTTATTAATAAGTTAAAGGAATTGAAGGTAAAAAGAGGTTTTATTTACTTTACAACAACTATTTGGAACTTGTTTTTAAAAGTTTCCAAGTTAAAAGGTTCATCAGCTAGTCCATAATCGTGTGGATCCTGCTTCAACTTGTGCTCGTCCATATACAACCTGGGACGTTGGGTATCTGTAGACATTTTTAAACAAGATATTTTATTTGGTGGTTTTTTTGTAGATTTAATGTCCAGATTGAGTCGAAAATTGTATTTTTTACGAAAATTGTCGGTGTCCACGTGCGTGACTAGTTTTGTTTTGGTATTTGTTTCTTTCGGCGATAAATGATAAATGTCATCAAAATAAAAGGGTCAATGAACGTTGCCGGATCGTAATTCCTTTAGTAAAATCTTTTTAGTAAGTATTTAAATAACTTTAAACGATAATTTTACACAATAGAACACAATTAGTTCTTCTTATAAAGAATTAAGAAGTAACTTTAAATTACAAAAAAAAACGCCTATAATTTGTTTTACAAAAACGACTGCCTTGAAAGAATCCTGCAATGGTTGTCAAAAAATATCCCACTGATTTAGGGTTAGCACCACTTTTCGCTCTTATCCCAGCTGTCATTGGACTTTCAACAGGCTGTATTGAATTTTACCGGGATTTACGATTTGTTTATTTTAATTTACGCAGTCTTTTTTTAACACTTGGATGTAAATTTATAATAAATATGTAGAAGGCATCAATGCTCATCATTGATTAAATATTTTCAAAATGGCAAAACGTTTCCAGCCTTTTAAAGAGTTCGGCCGAAGCACGAAAAAACCGAAATTAGATGTCAGCATAAACAAAGGGCGTCCGCTAGGACCAAGCCAGTCTTGGCCAAATCACCTACGCCCCAATGCTGTGGAGGTGGCGAGAGTGGACAGCCCGGTGGGCTGTGGCTCAAACAATAACAATTTGTGGGACGATGATGACGACGATGTTATACTGCTAGCAACACAGGTAGCTGAATCCCAAGTGGCAATCAAAAGTGCATCGGCGGTAAATATCTCCGAAAGTGATATTACTTTCAGTGAATTCGCACCACATGTGCATGCCACCACAAGCACACAGCGAATTACAACAACGACATGTGCCGCGGTAAAAGCCACTGTAAGCGCGCCACCGACCACAGTGGATAAAAACAATCATTCGGAATTATTTCTTGATGATGATGATGACCTTGTCGAGTTGTTGGATGCGGCAACGAATGGCCAAAAGCCCGAAAATACAAGTGGAGCGCGGCAAAACCAGGAAGTAGAAAGTGTTTTTAAAAAACCGACGCAAGTACTAAGTGGAATAAATGGTGTCAGTAAAAGAATGTCAATGGGATCGACCCAAGCTCCCGCTATAGATGGACAAAGTGCAGCAGTGCGTCGTCAAGTAGCAACGGAGCGGCAAGTAAAAATGCTGACTGAACGTTTGGACGCGTTGAAAGCAGAAAACGCGAAGCTTGCGAAAGATCTCAGTGAATCGAAAGGCAAAATCGAAAGCAAGGATGGAGAGGTAACTTATGAACATATATATATTGTATGACATTCAGTTATTAAAATTTCGTTTGCAGTCCTCCCTGCTGCGAGATGAGCTGCGCCATATGAAGCAACAATTGCAAACATTGAAAATGGAGAAAATTATGAGCGCTGAAGCCGCCAAAACGGAATGCAAAACAAAAATTGCCGAACTGGCTAGACGTGTGGAGGCCAAGGAGTCGGAGTTAAAATTACGAAACGTAGAATACTCTGTTCTAAAGATGCGGCACGCCGATGAAACCCAGCGGCTGGAAATGAGTATACGCAATGCTAATGTTACCGGCGATGTGCCAATGGAGGAAGGCGTCGAAAATCCACAGGAAATCTGTAATGTTCGTTTTCTATGCCGCCTGCGCAATTTATCATTGACAACACCGCAGCGCGCGCTATTGAATTCGCAACTCACCGAAATGAATGCTAGCGCCTATGAACGTCCCCGAGAGCGCGGCGACACAAAACGTCAACAGACGCCGTTTCAGCAGGAATTGGCTAATGCACAAACGCTGCTGGCGCAATTACAATTGCAGCAGCAAAAACGGTCATGGACTACCGCCGAAGCAATGGATTTCAATGAACGCGCTATTGCATCTGCTTGCAATGCGTTGCCCGAATTTTGGACTTACGTGCATGGACTTGAGTTCCCCAAGCACTGTAACATACATCCCTATCATGATTATGATCTGCGTAAGGACGACCAAACGTTCAGTGCGCGCAATTTACATGTAGCGCAAGAATTTCATGCAGATGAACGCGCGGTTAGTTTGCGGCGCTATGTGGCTGCTTTGAGTGTAATGTGCGCGCAGGCGCCAAATTTCGCACAACAACTGCTCAAGCAAGAACATGGCGATTACGCACTGCTGCAGGTCGCATGCCATGCCATTTCCAAATTGGGTTATTCCAGTGAGATCTGTGCGCATTTCGGAGCGCTGGAAGCATTTGCAACGCTCTTGCGCGTGCTATTGCGTCAGATGCGCGCAGATAGTGAGGATCACTTCGAGTTGCTAGTAGGCGGATTGCTGAAACAGCTAATTTTTGTGCGTCCGAGTGCGTGGATTTTTCAGGAGATATCCTATTCGGTGCTGGAGTTGACGCGATTGCCAGCAGCCTTAGCGCTGCTCTGCGTAAATAGCGACGAAAGCACATTCTATAGCGATCGCATGCGTTCACTCTATCGCTTCTCAAATGATTCATGCATTCTGCAAGTATATGCGGGGCTATTAGAAATAGCATTTCCACTGAACGGTGTCTTAAGTGAAGCGCATCTGCGGCTACTGGCTGTTATTTGTGAAAATCATGTGCGTTTTGCACACCACTGCTTCATGAAGCCGCCAGATTTCATATACAAGCTGTTGCCCTCCTACGATGATGATGATGATGACGATGACGACGATGATGCCGAAGATGGCACCGAGAACGAACAGCGTATGGATACAACAGAAGAGCAGACCAATAAGCAGCAAGCGCGCGTGCCAACAGAGAGCGTTGACAGTGCAACAATAGCAAACGACTTGGCCGCAACAGCGAATTCTAGCGCAGTTGCGCAGGAAGTGGCTGCACAGCCCACAAAACATAGCAGCATTAAAGGGCGCGCCCGATGTGAGTGCTATACGAAGCTATGTTTGAGCGTGGTGACGCTGCTCTTCCAGCTGATGCGACAATGGCAGTGTAACGGACGAAAAATAGGTGCGTGAAATAGTTACTCTAGAACGTACTGACTATTTCATATTAAATTCATGATTTTTTTTTTGTTTTTAATTTCATTAGAGACATTACGCGTAGCAGAGATCTCGCAAATATCCGTACAGTTATTGCATACGATTTTTTGCGACAACTACTCGACGCACCTCTTCCGTTATGCCGAAGAGACAACTAAGCACTATTTGTGGTTGATCTGTGAATGCTGGTCGGAAAATGCTAAATGCTTAAAATTTAACAGCGTACAAAGTGCGTACGAAACTGCTTACATACATACATACATACATTCATACAAATTTTGCACAGTAAATTTTATTTGTATTTTTTTCTTTTTTAGTGAACTTTCTTGACAAATTGCGTGCCTTTCATATTATGCCCAAACAGCTAAATGAAGAGGGTAATGTTGCTAATGTAATTAACGATCTAAAGGAATGGCATTCGTTAACCAATGATAACTCAACGTGTGGTGTTACTGCGGATCCAAATGCTATGGTCAATCTGCCATTCGCTGCTGAAAAATTGGACATAATGCGTTGTGCTGTTGATGAGTCGAAATTCTTTGAAGGCCTCAATGGCTATGCATTTAATTTTGAGTGATCAGTCGCAGCTACATCTTAAGATTTTGTATGTTGAATTAGATAAGTGTTAGTTGTTAATGGCTTTTTTGCGCTATGCAACAAAGAAAACGGGTTACACACTAAATTTTATTAGTGCGTGGCGTTTTGACTATGGTTTTCCTTATTTGTTCATAATTTGCCATATATTATTATTTCATCGTGACTATTGTAGTTACTGATTTTTAATGTAATTCAATTTGAAATGTTAAATAAAAGAAAAAAATTTTTTTGATTTAAAAAACCACGACGTGGACTACGTGTGAGCAAGAATAAACGATTTTCAACTCTAGTTCGGACGAAGGTAGGGTATTAACGTAACCGGAACGACGCAGATTATATCTAGCCAGGTATTGTTTTTAGATATATGGCCACTACATATGGACATATGTAAGCATATTTTAATATACTGATAATAATTGATTTCTGAATTGTACGCTGGTTCAGGTTCATTTCAAGGCATGTTGTTGTAGCAGCATACAAATTCCCCAAAGACTTTTTGGGGAGTGTTGCTGGAGTGACAGTCCTTGGCCAGATATAAATCTGGGTCGTTCCGGTTACGTAGACCCGACTGTCGTGGGAACGTCATTTCAAGGCATAAACACATTTGATTTCGTTAAGTGTAAATGGTTTTCATGAACAAGTAATGTTGAAGCCTTTTTCATTTAACTTTTTATAGTACACACTTAAAGGAAATATATGTATGTATGTATGTATGTAAATAACGAAATTTCCTAAATTACTTTTACCAACTAATCACCCTAATTATTTGCAAAGAATATAGAAAATTACTTATTTTACAAACATTTATTTTTAAGTGATTTATAAATTGCATAAGAATATGAAACTGCATATTCAAAAGTACTTTCTTGCACCTTTACATTTTACAAACTCCTTAATTTTGCGTTCGTATAAAAGTATAAACCATTCAATGAGTATTGCTACATAAAATGCTATTGTTTATTAATACATAATATGTTAATATTATGGTACTTTAAAGTGATGTGTATAAATTGCTTTTAATGGACTTCAAATATGCATACAAATAAAAGCGTTGTGATAAGACATGTGCAGTCAAACTCAAAAGAATGTACTATTTTGAAAATGATTTTTTTGAAAAAAATTTTTGGTTTTGTGCAAAGGTGTAGACGAATGGCAGCTATTTAGAGGACAATCAAGAATATAATAGTGAAAAGAATGCGTCACTTCTAATGTAATTATTAATATTAAAAAATTTACAATAACTAAAGCATTTTGAAATGTTACATATTTGTTGATATCGCTATCGATATATACAGATATACATAAACATGATTATGGATAACTGATTATAGCCATCGCTATGAATTTATCTTATTTTTCATCGATATCGTTATTGATTTTATTATAAATTTATCGAACTATAGTCGAAATATTAATCGATAACCATTAATATCGATATTTTTACGATATCTTTATCGGTATTATGAATGGTACAGGTATTTATCGCTATCAGTATTACGATTGACATATATATATATTTATCGATATCAATATTATGATCCACGTAAAAATTTATCGATATCCAACATTAGAATCGATTTGCGTATTTATATCGCTATATATGTACATACATATGTATGTGCATATTCATCAATTATCCACCTAATGGTCGAAATACATATTTCTCGATATCAATATTTTGATCGATTTGCGTATTTAACGTTTCAATGTCAGTACATCCTACGCTCGAAAAGCCAAAAATGCTTGAGGTACAAAAAACCGATCGCCCTCCAAATTAGCGCGTGCCACAAAGTCTTTAAATACATACTTACACATATAATTCACTTTTGGGTTTTGATTTGAAAAAAGGTAAACTTAATACTAACAATCTAATACTTAATTAGAGCTAAGTGTGAATACAAAACGATACGGAACTATATAGCAAAATCGCATTTACTTAAAATAGTCCGAAACGCTAAACATTTTTGTAGTATGAGTATTACAAATACAATCAAGTCCACATAAAATTCCATAGGTACAGACATAGGGAAAGAGAGGCAGAAAACCATTATTAGGTGATTCGAAATCAAAATTCGTAAGTGCCGATAAATTATAAGCATATAGTATGTATGTATGTGCATCCAATATAATTTTCGCCTTATCCAACTAAAAGGGGGACATTACCATTTTAAAGGTGTGCTTTTGTTGTTGTAAGCATTGGCTCTACAAATGAAGATAGAGAAAAAGAGAAATGCATTTGTATACATATATATATGGTAAATGTGAAAACAAAATAATAATCTATATAGGATACTAAAATGTTTCTACACATATAAAAAGGTACACAAGTGCTCACTAAAAAAAACGATGAATAACAATAGACAAAATTATGAAAGTCCTTTTAAAAAACGACGTCTCTTACTTTACAACACCCTGCGCCTGCGCTACCGTCAATGTAATAAATGGCGTTAAGCGTTCGACGAAACGCTCATGATTACGCTCCAACTCGCGCTGATAATCCTTTTGATCGCTCGATATTAAATTACGATTCTTCTTCAAAGCATCGGCACAACGCTTGGAGAATTCACGGAAACAGAGTCGTAATTTATTTTGATGTTTTGTTGGCACCGTCACGCCATCGGAGAGGTTAGCCAGAAAAACCGTAGCCATTTCCATGGGCCCCTGATTGACTGTGGTGCCAATACAACCTTGCAGCACCATTTGTAATATTTTCGGATCGGCAGGCTCTTG